TATTTAATTTTTTAATTGTAGAAAATCCTTCTTCAAACCTATCGTAAAATTCTCTGACACCCAAACCAATTAATGGTCCATATTGTCCAATTTATCGTCGCTCAAAGCAACAGTAGGATATGTAAAATAATGTAGTTTCGAGAAAAACCGGATTTGAAAATTTTACGAAACTTCACTAAATTAATAACTTTTTTATATTTGAATGGATGTACGTGAAATTTTGTTTGAGTACCTAACTTTACATGTGTCAAATAACAATTTATATTAATTAATAAAAAAGTGAAAAATAATTGGAAAAAAAGTTAGTTGTCCTACTGTTGTCCTCAAAGATAATCTGTTTTTTAACGATATCCGTAAATTTCTGTTATAAAAACTTTTATTGTATTAAAGTTTTGTTTAAAGTTTTACACATTTCAATACAAAAAACAAAACAATTTTGTTGTTACAAGATTGTTGTTACAAATTGGACAAAGATAATAAACAAATTAGGTAAATGAAAAAATCATCAGAATCAGTAATGGTAACAGCGGATACTGAAAGTTGTGAAAGTACAAATTTATTGCATTTTATTAAATCAGCCCAAAATTTCTAAACGGGAATATATCATGAATTTAACTTACCTTTTTCCTGTGCTTGATAAATTTCAGATAACAACTCAGAATCAGTGTTATTTTTGTTTGCTAAGTACACTAAATACTGACTTCTAGATACCCATATTTGTACAATTTAAATTGGCTGAATTATTAATTTTTTACTCTTTAACATACACCTTTTAACATCAATGTAATAGAACTATTATTTAAGATTACTGAAGATAAAACTGTGACTGCAAGCTGGATAGTATAAACAAACACATAATCCCAATTCAGCAATAAGTACATGGCAACAGTAGGATATGTGCGTAAGATAACTTAGTGTTGCATTATAAAATTGGGGCCAAAAGGAATTAACCTACACAAGGATATGTAATATTATGAAAAAAGTATATCACTTTTTATTTATCCTAGTGTTACATTCATCGAGCAAAAAGATAAAAGAGGGAATCTAATCGTTATGAAAAGGAGACCAAAAAAGTGGCCTCTGATGGCGGACATATCCGGAAATGCAAATGCGCTAAATTTAAATTTTCCAACACTTATTAACAATAGCTATAAAATATTTTTCAGACGAGAAAGTTTTAAATAAACATTAACTATAATAGTCTAAAAAGTGACACAACTGGTAAAAAACTTCAATATAAATAAAATTTTATGTGACAGTTGGGACAAACAATAACATAACCAAACTAAATTTGACTTCTCAAACAAGGAAAGAGACTGTCTTTCCTTGTTTAAAGTGGCCTCTCAAGATAGCACTTCCTGTCTAACAAAATTTTTGTTCCCACTACCTTTACATTCCCTCTTTTATCTTTTTGCTCGATGGTTACATTCAACAGAAGGGTTTATTTCGAATCATTTGACATGAAAATCACAAAAGTCACTTTTTTTACATATCTTAATGTTGCTTTGAGGCGACGATATGCTCTCACCGCTTACATATATGTGTTTTAAACGGATCTGTCTAACAAACGCAGTGAGACGCGGCTAGAAGTGTGAACTAACCTGTCGGACAGTGTGTGTCCCCCACACCACATGCATGGAAAACAATATATGCAAATGGAGGACAGTGTTTGTCCCCCATGGCACTTTACGTGTTAAAAGTGACTTCTGAGAAAGAAAATTGATTTAATATATTTGAGTTATATTTATTTTATTTGATTTGGATTTGAAATTGGGATATATTTGATCAAGTTCGATGCAATTTGTGTAAAGTAATCATTAAAGATATTTAGTTTCTAAAGTCATTAAACAGACAGCAAAAAACACATTAAAAGCGTGGTTATGGTATGTTATGGTAATTGACTGTAATGGGGGTACAGAGCGTGATGTACATGAAAGAATAAATAAGGCTCGCAACGCCTACAACATGCTTAACAACATATGGAAATCCAGGATTTTCCCAACTAAAACGAAATTAAAAATCTTCAACACAAATGTAAAAGCTGTATTACTGTATGGCTGCGAAACGTGGAAGATATCAGCACCCATAGTACACCAATTACAATTTTTCATCAATAGAGCGTTACGAAAAAGCCTTCGTATATTTTGGCCTAACCGAATCTCCAATGAAAATTTATGGAACCAAAGCAACCAAGAAAATGTCATAAAGCAAATAAGGCGAAGAAAATGGAGATGGCTGGGCCACACACTCCGTAGACCGCCAAATGACATTGCCAGGACAGCGCTGGATTGGAATCCCAAGGCCGACGGAAAGTAGGCAGACCTAAGGGAACTTGGAGAAGGACAGTACTGGACGAAGGGAGAAAAATGGGAAAATCCTGGCTTGAAATCAAAGCACTAGCCAGAAATAGAGTTCGCTGGAGACACTTTGTGGAAGCCCTATGTTCCTCTTAGGAATCTTGGGACTATATATATATATATATATATATATATATATATATATATATATATATATATATATATATTATATATATATATATATATATAGATATATATATATATATTATATATATTATATATATATATATATATATATATATATATTATGGTATGTACCTATTAGAGCCGTAATTGAAAAGCTTATGCTCTAGAAAGAAGGAGATTCTGTGAGACGAGCAGCGTTAAGTAGCATGAGTGATGAGATATTCAAAACCACCTAATTTCATTGACATAGGTATTATTTCTTCATCGCTTTTAGACATTTTTATCCTTATGGATGTTTTCCAGATGCTTAAACAGTGAAAAATTAAGATATTACTACTAATGTGTCTCAGTTATCCCTTGATAAAGAGGACTGTCAGAAACAGTACTTAGATGGGATACAAAATAACATTTCCGAGAATCCAAAATATTTTTGGTCTTATATTAAAAGCAAAAGAAATGGGTAGAATATACGATCCAGAATGGTCTATAATGATAGGGTTGGCTTAAATATCAAGGACTCTGCCAATATGTTCGCAGAATATTTCTCATCAGTCTACTCAGATGAACAAAAAGATACTTTACCTTTTTTTAATTTTGACAGTGCGATTTGTTTGAGTTCTATAATACTTACAGCAACTGAGGACTATGATACCATTGCAAGTTGTAAAAACCGATATGTGCAGAGCCGGATGGAATCCCAACCTATTTTCTGAAAAAATATATATGTGTACTTACAAAAACCTATTTTGTTTATTTTTAACAGATCACTTGGTACTGGTAGCTTTCCCAGTCTCTGGAAGAAAAGTTTATTAAAGCCGATTTTTAAATCGGGTGCAAGGAACGATATATCAAACTATCGAGCTGTCTGCAATCAGTCAGAGCTGCCCAAGTTGCTTGATTGTTTGGTTAGTTAGAAACTGACATGGAGTTTTAGAGGCATTTTTAAGATGCCAACCTAGTTTTGTATGTCAATCATATATATAACAGCTTTGAAGAGGGATGCCAGGTTGACTCAATCTATACTAACTTTTCCAAAGCATTTGATCGGGTAAACCATGGGTACTCTTACAAAAGCTAAGAGCTTTGGGTATTTTGGATCCCCTTTTTCAGTCGATTACAGAATTTATTAGTGGCCGTACACAGGCAGTTAACTTGGGAAGTGACACTTGAATTGAAATAACAGTTCCATCAGGCGTGCCACAAGGCTCCCATTGCGGCCCTGTTTTCTTTTACTGGTTTCTGGTTGATTTAGTACAAAAAATCAAAAATTGTAATGTTCTTATGTTTGCTGACGATGAAAAACTGTTTAGAAAAATTCAATCATGGAATGATGCTGTTGTATTACAGGAAGATCTTAAATCGTTTTATGATTGGTGCACTTTAAACAAATGGTCACTCAATATAAACAAATGTCATAAAATGACATTCTCGAGGCAAAGAAATCCAATTACATTTGTTTACTACATAAATAACTTACCATTAGCCTCGAAAAATGAAGTATTAGATTTGGGAATTAGGTTAGACACCAAACTGTCATTCTCAAGTAACAAACAGAGCAATGAAAGTGCTGGGATTTATCCAACGCACATCTGTGGACCTGTCTTTGTTTACATTTAGAAGACTTTATTGTGGTCTCGTTAGGCCCATTCTTGAGTTTGGATCAGTTGTATGGTCCCCATCATACCACTGTTACATTCAACAGATTGAAAGAGTCCAGAATAAATTTTTGAGGGTAGCAGCCTATAAGAGTGGATACAGGAGAGAGGAATACAACTATCAGTGGGTAAGAGATATTCGTAACTTACCAACACTTGAGTCAAAGGACATTGTTAGAGTTCTGTTTCTTACACAAAGTTATCAATGCTTTTATAGATTGTCCTCAACTCTTATCGCTTGTTAGTCTTAAAGTTCCTAGTAGAAGCAACAAAATCTTTTTGGTGCCATTTCACCACACTAATTATGGTATCAATGAACCAACTACACGATTGGTCCGAAGTGCTAATAGTCTGCCAAGATAAATAGATATTTTTGACTCTAAAATTATTTTGTTTAAAAAACAACTAAAAAGTATCTTACAATAAGTTTGTTGTACATCTGTATTATTCTTACCTATATGTTTGTATTATTCTGAGGTGTTTGTTATTTTAATAATTTATTGTTGTTAAGGTGTAACTTTGTAAAACTTGAGATTGTTATTTTAATAATTTATTGTTTTTAAGATGTAACTTTGTAAAAATTGTAAGTAAATGGATGCTGTATATAAATAAATAAATAAAAATAAATAGGATTATTTACAAGGCAATAATCAATACCTGTATGGGAGGACTAATGGATAGAGTTATGGAGGTGATGTAAACTATCAAATGCAAAGATTGTTAAAGTATTTTCATTCTAAAATACTTGGAGAAACTAACATACCCTGGTATAATTTAAACATACTCGACAATTTACTTAATACTGTATTTGTGTTTAGAGTATATTATAAAAAGCAATAAATACATAATTAATTCAGGATGCAATACTGAATATCAATGAAGTGATAATGCGACTGAAGCCTGTTTTTTATCCTGTGATATTAATAAACGTTATTATTACCTTGTTGTTAGAAAAAATTGATTGTTTTGTGACTATACTGTATTTAATATGTAGCTATATACATTTTACAAAATTATATTAAACTTAAAAACTAGAAATTTACAAAAGTAATTTTATTTTTCAAACTGTAAAATACAGTAAACCAAACAATAATTTACTTTTTCTTTGGTCCCTTAGATTTTCTTTCCAACTGCATTTGCTTCAACTTCATATTCAACTTTGTTTGAGCTTGTGAATGTTTCTCCTTGGACAATTTTACTTCTGGATGCAACATCTTTTTCCTTTCATCTCTCTTCACTGCTTCGCCACATCCATGAATTTCTGGCAAGCCGTGGCTGGTACAAAAACGGCCTTTACAAAACTTACAGTCTATGGCAAAATTATGTGTACGGTTCTTGCATTTATCAAAGGAACAGCGATAATCGATCTCTGTCACTTTTTCCAATACTTCGTCTATATTTTTTGAGTGAACTGCTTTCGAAAGATCAGCTTTGTTCGTATCTTTTTTCTGCATTTTTTTAGTATTTCATGTTAAAAAAACCAATATTCCTAAATAAATTTTTGACAGATGATAAATTATAGGTTATGTATTGAGTTTTTCAAATGACAAACAAATTCGTATTTAAAATTGCCTATCTAGTAGGCAAATGAGTGTAACCAGATTGAGATAAAATTTAATACAATAGGTCTAATGAAAATGCAATTCTAAAAGTTAGAATGCAATAGTTTTTAAGTAAAATTGAGAAAAATCTCTTTTAAACATAAAACACGGCAAACTTCTCCCTTTACAAATGACACCAACGTTAATTTCCATTCTTTTTATATTGGATGTGACACTCAATATTTATTATTTGTTATAATTTGATGGGTTTGTTTGAATTATTTAGCCGTATTCAGCAGAATTATTACCGTTAGCCGTGTTAAATATATGTTTTTGTATTTATTTCAATTTATTATTGTTTCTCTATTCATTGTTTACGTTTTGTAAATATATTTATAAATCAAATCAATATTTTTTTCAATAAATCTCCTATTTTTTAGTACGTATCCTATGTGATTATATTGTATTGTTAATTACAGGCGTATTTAAATTTAGCGCGAAATAAAATATCCAGCACGATCCATGCGCAAAGAATGGTCTGTAGAAATGGTAAAAAGGCAACCAATTATACATCAGATCAGCAGTAATGTTACAGTAGTTGCGAAGGTCCGGCTGGTTTGTTATTTGATTAAGTGGTTATTGACGTTAGAAGGGAAATTTGTAAATTAATCCCTGACATTCGGATTGTTAAGTGTGTTATGTGATAACTCCAAGTTACTAGTGAATCTGTTCTATTTCTTCTCTGTGCTCCACCCTCTTTAGTCCGGTAAGTACCCTCAGATTTTATCAATGGAGATTGGAGGTGTCAAAAGGGAATTCCTCATCTATGATACATCAACAACCGCGATTTTTTTTAAACTCGAGATGAGGTCATAGTTAATATTAATGAGATCAGTCAGACAAGAGATTTGATGTTCGGGATTCTCCCTTTTCCTGTAGTTTTTGGTACGAGCACAGGCCCGCACACACTATTGATTTTTGTTGAACAATGCACCTACCCACTTCTGTCTGTCTAGTTGTAGACTTCCCATCCCATGTTAGGGATATCCTGAGTATTGTTCTCTACTAAAATGTTTCCCAAACTCCAAATTAGTTGCAAATCTATTGTTACAATGTATTTGCTTCACAAATTAGAAAGATAACAGACATAATCAGAACAGCATTTGTTTTAAATTAATTTTTAATGTGATTACTTATATACTTATAAGTACAGATTAACATAATTTTTTATAAAAGTCGGATTTGATTGAAGTTAGAGGATATATATTCTTATAAAATATGCATAGATATGCCTGAATTAAGTTTTGTAGCTGTTGTTCTCCTTTTTATTCACATTATTTTCTTACTCAGCTACTGCATTCATATTGATTTCATAACACAGTGTGCTTTTTTAATATTTTTTGACATTTTTGTCTTAATTAAACATAACATTAATAGCTACTAAAGATTGAATACTGAGAAATGTAAATACTTGATACAGAGGCTTGGTTTAATCTTCAACTGATCCTGTCAACTGTTAGAGATTTACTTGGTTTGGGACAAATTGGTTGGTTTTAGAGAAGAATATAAAATTGTAAACAGTTGAGACTGTATCATGTAGGCACCTCTAGGTATGGAACTAAGTACATGACTGAACATCTTATAATCTTATCTTATAGAATCTTATAATGTCACTTCTTCTTCTTTAGGTGCCTTCTCCCTTACTGAAACTTTGCTATAACTACATCAAATTGCTCTCCATCTTGAGCTGTTCTTAGTATCAAATGTGTGTCCATGCCTGTCCAGTCTCTTACATTCTTCAACCAGAAGCATTTTCTTCTTCCTGGACCTCTTCTTCCTTCCACTTCTCCTTCCATTATAAGTCATAGGAAGTTGTATTTTCTCCTCTGTAAATATGTCCTGGATAACTCATTTTTCATCTGTTTTTTACAATATTTAGGAGTTCTTTCTCAATACCTATTCTTCTTAGCACCTCGTTGTTGGTCAAGTGCTCTGTAATGCCACACAGTTGTCTATTGCTACTCATATCATTGCCCAGCTCACTACTCCAAATCATCCTTCTGGTTAAAACAAAAAGCATTAAAGGCTGTATGATACTATGCATTTTCTTGTATCATGTCTTATATTGTTTCTGATATAGAAATTTATTTATGTTTTCTTGTATCGTTTCTTGCACATACATTTTTGCTCATGATTTTTGGCACATGATTGGTCAAAATTTTGATACCTATAAAAATAGAACTGCAGCACCTGAGGACCCAAGCCATATGCTACTGATTATTTTTTAAAATACTGTGGTGCAAAAATGAAAGGAATAAAATGTCCCAATATTAAAACTAAATGGGAAACCACAATTTTTGAAGATATTCAATAGGCTGTAATGGAAGACAGAAATAATAAATAATTTGGTTGTAATAATTTATTTGTTTTTTTTTAATTATGTGTTTGAATGGCATGCTCTTGAAATTATACTCTCTTATTTGGAGATATAAAATAATCTTTAAACTCATCACGAATTTTTAAAGCAGTTATGTATTGTTTTTAATAAAACATCTCCTACTTTCAGTAGTTCCTATGCTATTTGATCCAATCCCTGTGATTTATTGTTTTTCAATTTAGCTACTGATGTTCTAATCTTGGTTATTGTTGGTGGGCACTTTTCTCTGATGTCTGCTTGGTCTAATTGTATATCAAAGTTCTCCTCCAGCCGCCAATATGACAGAAGTTTTACGTTTTTTCAAATTTGTGTACAAATTGGCGCATTTCTTTTACAAGAAAATGCAGTGGACACAAATTCTTGTATCGTTTCTGATATAAGAACTATACGCTTGTATGGCACTATCCATTTTTTTTTGTTATATCAGAAACTATATAAGAAATGATACAAGAAAATGCATAGTGTCATACAGCCTTAAGAAATTTAAAAGCAGTTATTTTAAAAAAGTTAAAGAGTATTTATTAACAAAATAATTCAAAGCAGATTCTGTTTTTGAGATAATTTTCCATTAAGTAGGTAATACATAATATATGATATACCTAATGAATGTAAGAGTATGTACTGTTGTTTTGGAATTTCGATCCCTTCCTTACTCATTAATTATCTAAGAATTGCTCTGTCAAGTAGTCTGCTATAGAACATGTTCAAATTGCCTGATTTTCTGTATGAGTTTTTCATTTATTAGCTATTTCAGTTATTTTATATGCTGTGGAAACTCTCCTTATTATCATGTAAATATTTTAGAAAATGTTAAAAGTTTTATTTCCTTATGAAGTATATTACACAAAAATATAATTTCAAAACATAAAAATTATGATAATGAATCATATTTTGAAAACCTCAAAATTAAGTAAATGAAATTTAGATCAAAAATCCCAACTGAATAAAATCTATTTCTAGCAAGTATTTCTAAACTATGATATCACATTGTAAATATTTATTGTGATAAAAGTGTAGTATTTAGCATTCATAAAGTACATATGCAAAACAAATGTGGCATATCATATATGATGAAAATAGTAGTATTCCACCGATTATGATGACAACTTGAAGAGAGGAAACAAGTATTGAAAAATACTTAGAAATTGGGAGATTTATATTAAAGGCAGGAGAAATTGTTGAAGAAGAATGCCTTGGATATGAAATTTGGAAGAATGATTCAGCTGCACCACAAAGAATTATTTGTGCTGAGCGATGAATTTATACTAAGACTTAGGATTCCTTGAGGATGCCTAATCTCTGACATGAATGACACATTCAGGAAAGTTTTAAATTTTCTCAATTAAAGATCTTAGCTAAAACACACATAAGGTTCAGTTATTTTTAAAAGTTTATAATTCACAGTGGTAAACATAATCTAGAAAATTGAGTGTATCAACATTTTCTATAACTGAATATAACACATCAACAATGTGCATTACTTTAAAAATATTATGGTACATTTGAAAATGAGTCATAGCACAAATTTTATAGCAATAGTCTAAATACAGTGTTAGTCAATGCATAAAAACATAGTAATTGATACCTTCTTGTCTAAATTTGCACTTGACTTTAATATGACCACTTTACCTCCATGTTCTTTTACTATTTCATCTACACAATATCAATATAAGGTTCTTGAACTCCTAAGTGGAGTTTAGAGCTTCAGTGAAAGCGCGCCATCGGGTTCTATTTTACGCTAAGGCCTTCACCTCATTCCAAGACTTTCCTTGGCCTCTTATCTCGTCCATGATGGATCTTCTCCAAGTTTGTACTGGGCGACCTCTTTTTCTTTTCCCTTGGGGATTCCACTCTAGGGCAGTCTTTGCGATACTGGAACTATTTTTCAGAGTGTGTGACCGATCCAACCCCACTTTCTGGACTTAATTTCATTTTGTACCCTCTTTTGTTCGGTCAGGTGTAGCAGATCTTCGTTTCTGATGGTGTTAGGCCAGAATATACAAACAATTCTTCGTAGACATTTGTTGACAAAGACCTGCAGTTTGTCTGTGAGGGTGTTTGTCACTTTCCAGGTTTCACATCCATATAGTAGAACAGACATGACATTTGATCGGAATATTCAGATCTTTGTCCTTGTAGTATACTTGCTAGATCTCCAAACAGGGTTGAGTGTGCTGAAAGCTTGTTGGGCTTTTCGTATCCTCATACGAATATCATCTTCTGTACCTCCGTTTTCTGTTATGACCATTTCAAGATACATAAAGTTTTCCACATTTTCAATCTGCATATTGTCGATAGTAAATAGCGTGTTGTTCCTTGCATTTAGACTCATGGACTTGGTTTTACTAATATTGATTTTCAAACCCATTTTATTGGCTTCAGTGGAAAGTGATTCCAATTGGTAAGCCAGATCTTGGAACCTTTAGGTTAGGTTAATCTGGACGCGGACGATATCTGCCTAATAGGCAGATATCGTCCGCGTATTCTAGATCGCTTAGGCGTGTGGTTAACGTCCATTGTAT